TTATTAAATAAACTGTTAATTTACTGATACTCTTCTAAATCTAAATATCAAATTAAACCTTCTGCTTACCACCCATATATATTGCTTCGCTTATTACTTATAAACATCTTAAAGAACTGACTGTAATATTATTTATATATTATTAAATATTCTTTTTTATTATTTATATTAAAGTAATCTCTTCAATTATTTTTTTAAATAAATTAATAACTTTATCTTTACTTAAAATTGTAACAATTTATTTTACTATTTAAATCAAATATTTATGTATTAAAAAAATAATCTTATATTATGTTATTTTCTAATAAAACTTTAGATAATAAAAATTTTATTATAAAATCATTTATTTGATATTAATAGATTAAAATATTTATCAGATAAAATATAAGTAATATATTTTACTAATAATTTATTGATATTTGAAATAGTGTTAATAAATTTTAACAAACATTTTTAAATTTTTTTATATAGTAATTTTGTAGTATAATAATATAATAATATAATTATAACTGTAGTATAATAGTAATATAATACAGTCAACTCTTGTTATAACGAACTTTATGTCTTAAATCTCAACTTTACTATAAGGCTATAATAAAGATTTTAAGAAATTTTATTGGCTAATTTGCTATAACAAGAGTATTTTTATTATATTTGTTTAAAAAATTTGTTATATCAAGAGTTCGCTATATCAAGAGTTGACTGTAAATATTTTAATTTATTTTATATTATAATTATTAAAATTTTAATTTTAAATAACTGAATAAAAAATATTTTATTTGCTTATTAAATTTATTTAATAAAAATAAATATTTAATAAATATTTTTATCATATTTAAAACATATATTTGCTAATAGTTTTCAATTGATATATAAGCTATATCTAATATTTCAACTAGATTTCTAATAATTTCACCTAAATTTGATTTTGTTTTAAAAAATTATAATATAAAAAAGTTGTTTAATCTAATAAAATAAGTTATTTTTATTTGTTATATATTAAATAATTAAATTAAATAATTAAATATTAAATTAAATTCTTAAGAATATGCAGATAAAAATTTAATATATAAAATTTTTTACTTACAAAAATTAATAATATTTTGATCTTTATATATTACTATATTATCTAAAATCAAAATAATATAAGATCCTGAAAATGAATTTATTTTTGATAACTATAAAATTTATATAAATTTAATTATAATAAAATAAATATTATTATTATATAAACAATTTTATTATAATAATATAATGATATTAATTTAGCAGTTATTTTAAAAGATTTATTAAATATATATTAATCTTTAAATATTATAATCAATAAACTATTTAAGAATAATTTCTGTAAAAAGCAATATTTTTAGATAGTTAATGGAATGCTAAAAAAACTATTGCTAAAAATCTACAATATACTAAATTAAGTAACATTTATAGATAAATAAAATACTTATAGAATAATATAGGATCTTTATAAAAGAAAGAGAAAAAACAGCAGAAAAAATCAATTTTTACTTTTATATGTTAAATATAATTTTTAAATCAAAATATATTCAAATTTAATATTAATTCAATTTTTATTTTTTTAGCTATTTTTTTTTTATTGCAAAGGTTTCATATTTTATATAAAATGATTTTTTAGTCCTTTAAAATAAGTAAAATATTGAATTTTTTAAATGAATTAAATAAATTTGAAGTGGAATCTGATATTGAAGATTTAGATTTTGATAAATGCATTAACTGTAAGCTAGATAATTTTAAAATATCATTAATTTTTTTTTAACTAATTTTTCTAAATATCTTTTAAAGAAATCATATACTATCATCATAAGAGTTACAGATCTATTATTAGTTTTTAATTTATTAATATAATCAAAATATTCTATTATTAAATCAGATTTTATCCATTCATTTTACTAAAACTAAACTACTATAATAAAATTAGATTATGTTTGCTATATGATAATCATACTTATTTTTTTTTAAAAATACATATTAGTGAATATTTTATTTTATCTAAAATAAAAGAAAACAAAAAATTTTTAATAAATATAAAATTTATTATATAAAGAATATAAATATATTTAATTTATCATAAAGAAATAATAAAATGATTTTTACTTATAATATACATTAAAATGACAATTTTCATTTTTAGTTCTGTTTTTATAGATTGTTTTTCACTTATATAATAAGACCTTGATTATTTTTAATTTAACTTATAAATAATATATAATAAAATATATAATTAATTAAATTAATAATAAAAAAAACAAAGACTGTTATTAATTTTAAAATAATCTTAATTAAGATTTTTGTATTATAAAAGTTAATTATTCTTAATTTAATTATTAAACAAATAGATATTATAATAAATATAAAAAATAATTAATTATTTATAATATTCTTTAAATATTATTAATTTATTAAATTTTATAAAAATTAATTTTTAATAATTTTATATTAAATATAAAATATTTATAAAATTTTATTAAATTATTTTTTTATAATTTAAATAATTTAAGTTAAATTTTATTGTTTAAAATATAAAATAATATTATTATAATATATATAAATTATTATAAAATTAAATAAGATTAATAAATAGGTAATATAAAAATTTTTATATTAATAATATATTTTATAAATGTATTTTATTATCCCTTAAATTGTAAATATAAAATTATTTTTAAAACATTTAAAAAATTTAAAAAATTTTAATATCTAATGATTATAAAAAAATAAATAAAAATTTTAAATTAATCATATAATATATTTGATGATAGTATTTTAAAACCTTTAAAATTTATATTTTTATTATATATTAATTTTTTAATTTTAAAAATAAAAATATAAAATTTAGTTTATTAGATTTATCATATTAAGATCTATAAAATGATAATATTTTTATTTTTCTAAAATTGATAGATAATAAGATTTATGAGTTTAAAATTTTAATTTTTTTTATAATAATTTATTTATTTTTAAATTACTAGTTAATTACATTTTTTTTTTAATTTTTACTTAAAAAACATCATAAAAATTTATTATAAAAGTATTAATTTTTTTAATAAAATATTTTAAAATATTTAAAAAGAATTATAATTAATAAATAAAATTACTTACAAATTTGTAGACAAAATAATAAAAGGAATAATATATATTTATAAAAAGTAAATATGATATTTTTAAAATTTTTATTAAAGAGTAAATATAAAAACTTAAAATAATATTTTTTATTAAATTTTTTAATAAAACAAATTGAATTAATAAAATTAATTTATAATTATTAAATTTATATTTATTAAATTTTATTTAAATTATAAAAAAAGAAAAGTTAAAAAATAAATAAAATTTATTTATATTAATTTTTTTATTTTTACTTATAATAAAAAAAAACTAAATTACTTATTAGTTAAAAAAATTTTAAAAATTTATATTAAAAAACTTTATTAATAAAATTTAAATTATAATCAGTATTAAAATTAAATTTTATTTAATTTTTAATAATAAACTATTAGATTTAGATCTAATAGAAATGTTTAATCCAATTCTATAATTTTGTTAAATTATAATTTATACACTATAATTCTGATCAAATTTATAATGCTAGCCAACTTAAAAATTTGAATGTTAAATTTTTCAATTAAAATAATTTTACTAATCTAATTAGATTTTTTAGGTGACAAAAAGCTTGAAATTAATATTGCAAATATTTTAAATTTACTTTATTCTACTAGAGATTATTGAAAGTTTAGGAAATCTAATTATTAGTCAAATATTTTAAGTAGTAAATTTTAAAAAAATCAACATGAATGGAGGTTTGATTGGATCACATTTGGTATTTATTTATTTATTTTATTTGAGTAATTTTTCCGATTGTCTACCTTTTTGTTGAGTATTAAATTTTTCTTTGCTAAAGATCTTGAATAAGCTACCGGTATGTTAATTATCATTCGGGTTTCTTCTTATGCAGTTATATACGTTCCTGGATTGGTTAATTCAGATTTCATTATTTGGAACTGATTGTTAAAAACATTTTAGCCAATCGATCTTTCCTCCAAGATTTTGATAAAATAGGATCGGATCAGATCGGCTTTATAATTGGTTTATTTTACTTTACTATTTTACCTTATTTGGGAAGTTCAGGCTCTGAGAATTTTTTTGAAGACATTTTTTGATCTAAATAACATCAAAAACCTAAATTAAAAAAATTTTTCCAGAGCCTGATTTTCCTGGCAATCGTTCCATTTAAATGTTTGAGAATTATTTCACTTTTTAAACTAATGAGTATCGCGTCATCAATAAAATGATTATAGTATTCAATTACCCATCTGAAACTAAATGTCACGTGATTTATATATATTACGTATACATGATGTTATGCCGATCATCTAATAACGTGATATCCCATGCCCCCATATAATGGCATAAAATATACTTGAGTATGGCTTTGTAAGTGTGTAGATTAAAAAAAAAAAAAAAAAATGACTTCTCAAATATATTACAAGTTCAAAAGTGCCAAAGATTATGACAATATTACTTTCGACGGTCTCGGGATCTCTGTTTTCGATGCAAAAAAGGAAATTTTAACTGCAAAAAAATTGAAAGGAAATGACTTTGATATTGTGGTTACCCATGCTGAATCTGGAGAAGGTATTTGTTTGTATTTTGTATTGCAGCGAAGGAAATTCTTATTTTCAAGTCCAATCGTCTTGTATATCTAAAAATAATATTTTATATAAATACTTGCCCTTATAGATTACCAAGAAGACACTGCAATAATACCTAGAAATACACCTATAGTGGTTCGGCGAGTACCCACTAAGCCTGGGAAAGGGACTGCGCACCGTTATTTAGAGGGAGTACCAGCAGTCTCACGCAATGCAGCGGCCGGAAATCGAGTTAATTATGGAAATACTAATGGGTAAATTTCATTTGTAAATTAATTATATATCAATAAAATATTGATAACCTAAATGGGATGTATTTTAGATCAATGTCAAAGACTTTCGACTCGTCCAAGCAACAACAACAAATGCAGGTTTCACGACCTTCCCCTATTCCGACCATAACTCTCAGCTCTGGTGAAGAACAAACGGAAGAAGATAAAATTGCAGCTATGTTTGCACAATCATCAGAATTTTGGGAAAAAACACAGGAACAGATGGCTTCGTGAGTATTACAAAGCATAATATTATTACTGATAATAAATAAATAAATATATATTTTAAAAATTAATTTTCATCTTTCTTTTTTCTTTCTTTCCTTCTTTTTTTGAATAGAAAACCGGCACTTCGAAGGCCAAATCAACCTCGTCCTCAAGTGAAGCAACAAATTCAAAAGGCTCTTCCACCAAATTATGTCTGTTATAGATGCGGGCAAAAAGGTATCTCTCATCAAATTTTTATTATATTCGATGGCTATCATTTGGTTTTTTGTCCGGCAAGATTCTAAATTATTGAATTGTTATCTACATTACCTGAATTTATAGGACATTGGATCCAAGCATGTCCGACAAATGGTGATAGATCGTTCGATCACATGAAAGTTAGAAAGACGACGGGAATACCTAGGAGTTTCTTGCAAAAAGTTGAACAAGTGCCTCCCGGAGGTAAAGGAGTACTTGTCACACAGGATGGGAATTTGGTTATTGCGCAAGCAAATGAGTAAGTTTTCGGAATTTTATTTTATTTTATTTTTTTTTCCTCAAGAGAAAAACCACATTTATACTCAAATTATTATCCTTCCTTTCTTTTAATAAAGGGCTGCTTGGCAAAAATTTCATGCTCGTCAAAAATCATATGTGACTACTAATGAAGTACTTGAAGAAACGCTTCCGGTGCCTCCCGAACTCCAATGCATGATATGTGCCCGACTTCTTAGAGAAGCGGTTATAACGCCGTGTTGTCAGGCCTCATTTTGTGATGAATGTACGTATCGTTATTGTTGTTTGCAGAGACAACAAATTTTAGATTTTTGTTATGAATTTTATAGATTAATTAGTCAGGTTAGGCTAGATATATTGTTACAATTTATTTATTTTAAGATTTTGCCTCTTGTGTTATTTTTATGGTTTTGCTCGCAATCTGTTTGTTGCACAATAAATATAATCCCTTCGTTATTTTCTCGAGGTTTAAAAACAAAATTAATCTCGAGTTCTAGTCTAGTGAACTTGTGTGCAAATTTTTTTTTTTTTTTTTAAATTTTCTTCCTGTGGAGTATGGATATTACAAATATTCCTCTAGATAGAAAATATATGGAATTGGAATTGATGATCCAAGACAAATTGGTGGTCTTAAGGATGGCAATAAGAAAATTGATTCCTACATCATTTATTGAGTGATTTTGATTTACCAAAAATTTGGTATTACTAAAAGTTCATGACAAATGAGGGAAATATTGCGAATCAAATAGATTCAAGTGTGTGGAGACAATTCTACCTTTTTGTTTTTCTTTTTCTTTTTTTGTTTACTATTCTTTTTATTCTTATTTTATTCCCTCTTTTTTTTTTTTTTTTCCAAAAAAAAAAAAAAAGAAAAAAAAAACTAAAAGAACAAAAAAAACTAACACATATTACAGCTTTTCTAGTCAAATTTCTCCTCCCTAAATTATTCAGTCAGTTATCGTTACTAACATGATTGCTTATTTCTTTCTTTTTCTCTCTTCTTATTATTATAAAACATAAAAAAAAAAAAAAAAAAAAAAATAATGTTGGTTGGTGGTATAAACTTGGGTTGATGAAATAATTTACACAGGTATTCGAAACGCATTAATCAGTACCGAACAAGAAGATCAGCAGTTCAAGTGTCCAAATTGTCAAACTCAATTATCACCTGATGGCTTATTACCTGACAAAGCAACTAGAGAAGCTGTGAACAATCATTTAAGAGATTGGGCAAGACGTAGAAATGAACAGATTGTACCTGAGGGTAATAGTGAAGAGGAAGTTGTTAATAACAATGATATTGATATGGATAATGTGGTTGTTGACGAGGATACGATAGAAGCTTCAACATCGTCTGATACTTTAGTAATGGAAAAGGATCAACAACCAATAACAACGGATCTCATAGATCATGAACAACCTCCAAAAGTGAAGACTGAGCCGGTACCTTTTTTTTTTTCATTACTCTATTACATCATCGTTTGTAATTTTTTCTTTTTAAAAAAATTTTATGTTGATTTTCCATTCATAGGTTGTTGTTAAAGTCGAATTGCCCAAAAAACCAATTCATGAACTTCCGCAAATACCTCCACCGCAACAATCAACTCTTTCACAGCAATCTCAGTTACCACAAGTGCCATCTCAACAATCTCAACAATCATCACAGTTTCAACAATCACAACAGCAATTACAACGTCAGCAGCATCAATTTTCGAATGCCAACGGAAAAACGTTTCCACAGCAAAATCCTTCGGCCGCCCAACAAGCAACGTACGGACAATTTGGATATTACAATGATTACGGATTTGGTTATGATCAAGGATACTGGTATGATGATGGTAAGTTCATCAAAATGATTTACACAATTAACATTATTTTTTTAAAAAAAAAGAGATCTTATTCACATTTATCTTCACAGCCGGATATCCTCAGATGGGTATGAATATGATGAATGCGCCGGGAGGTTATTACGATCCATCATATTTTGAATCCGGATTTTACCCTGCAGATCATTTCCCGGCACCACAACAATTCATGCCACCATTTAGACCACCAGTTTATGATGATTTTTGGGATAATAGGCCAATGATTCCACCACAAGGTAATTTCACCCCATTTGGGAATAACGTGGGCGGTGGTATGGGCGGTACTGCTATACAACCTTTCAGAGGTGGAGGTTTTCGTGGCGGATTTGCGCAACGTGGGGGTAATTTTCAAAACCGTGGCCGAGGAGGTGGAGGTGGAGGCCGTGGAAGAAGTACAAGTTATTTCTACGAGCAGCGACCATTTAATAGCGGACACGGAAGTAGTAGTAATGATTTTAGAAGAGAATCAAGCATGAGCCCTTCGGTGGGTAGGAGAGAAGCGTGAGTATGAGTTGATTATACAACCTTGAAAATCATCAAAAAGTAAAAATTAATATTCCTTGTATCGAATTCATTTAGGTCCGAAAGGCCAGAATACCGAGAAGGCGAACAAAAGTATGAAGAAGTGGATGATTTTGGACGTGATTTGGCACGTCGAAAATCGTTAACGTCACCAGATAAGGATAGTCGTGAAAAGCTAACTCCTCCTCTTTTACCTGATCGTGATAGACGCGATAGGGACATGATTGCAGATGAAGATTTGGATAGTAGAAGACGAGAGAAGGCAAGAAGTCATAGCAGAAGTAGAAGCAAAGAGAGACGAAGCAGCAGTAGGTCGCGTCATCGTACCCGAAAACTTCGCGATGAATTACATCGTAGCCGATCACCATCGAAGCATGATCATCGTATACTGTTCGATGATCGAAGAAAGAATTCGACATCGTCTAGACGTAGTCGTGACGGATTTATGGAAAGAAAAGAGGATCGAAGATATGGTGATGAACGACGCGTTTCGGATGATCGACGATACTATGATGATCGACGATATTCCATACCCGATAGGAGAGATGAAAGGCGTGAATCAATTTCGGACAGGAGAAGCGATAGAGATAGAGACAATAGACGTGATGACCGTCGTGATTCATACAATAGTTCACGTTATGAAAGTAGACGTGAATCAATTGGTGACCGAAAAGACAGACGTATTTCGATAGATGAAAGAAAAGACGAAATACGTAATCAAGGTTTATCTAACGAACGTTATGATGATCAGGAAAAAGCTCGAACCCCTTCGCCCAATAATATGATGAATTATGAAAACGATAATGAAAATGGCGAAAACTTGTATCAAAGTCCACGTGATGACTTTGACGTGGAAATGCATGAGAAAAATGATCAATCAGAACCGACGATAGTACAACAAAACTATGAAGATAATGAAAGACAATCCCGATCGGACTCACCAAAACCCATAATAGATACTGAAGAATTTCAGGTACCCGATGATGATGATGAAGTTGATAATGTTATTGATGTTTCAACTAACGATGAAGATACGTTATTGGTAGATGATGATGATGATCTAGAGGTTTCTTCAACAAAGGATGATAGGCCTACTACACCTCCTTCACCTGACAAATTTCTAGATAAACGTCGACATTCTTCATCCCACAAACATCGAAGTAATAAATATCACAGATCATCACATCATCGACACGAGTCATTAGATAAAGAAGACAATGATAGAAATTCAACCTCCAAATCTCGTCATAATCCTTACCCCAAAGATGATTATCATCGAAGTGGAAATCGAAAACATAAAAAACATCATTCTTCACGTCATCATAGTAATCGTCATCGTAATAGTAGATCTAAAGATGGTGAAACAATTAGGCGGAGACATTATAGCAGAGATAGGGATGAACGGAGATGAAGTTGATTTAGTATTATTATTATTATTACATTTCTTTTTTTTTTTTTACAAAAGATCCAAAGATGGATAGGCAACAAAAAAAGTTATTATAATGAAGAGAGAACGTTGGTAAGAACATACAAACTTGTATTTATGTATATAATATTATTTTATCATTTTAAAGATATATTATATACATGTATATATATTTTTAGTTTTAATTGGGACAATCTAATCTTTTTTTTTTAAAAAAAAAAAAATTTAAATTAGATTGATAATTTACTGCACAATTGTTATCGAATGGTTTTTTTTTTCTTCTTATCGACAAGTAATTTTTACCGAATGATAATAAAATTTAACTAATATATGAATAAAAAGATAATCTTATCTTTAATAAAATTTTCCGAATAAACTATGCATATTTTTTATGATGATTATCAAATTTGATATTTTCGGTTACGATATATATTATCTTTATAAAGGGTTGATAGTGCATGATATGCAATTAATCATGCATTAACAATCTGATAAGAAATCTGTCAGATAGTACAAAAATTACTGTCTAGATTAACATAATAAATAAACAAACAATCATATAAACAATAAGGTCAGATAATGCATAAAGATATAATCGATTCAATGTATTACTTTATTTTGTGTAATTAAATAATTTTTTACTTAAAAATAGAGAATAAAAAAAAAAAAAATTAGACTACAAATAATCGCGTAAGAAAAGTAATCTAGTAATTCGGAAATAGTAATAAAGAATTTATCCAGCATTTTAAGCTACATTATTTACAACATGATTTATAGAATTTGCAACGTATTCCACATTTGATGTGGATAATCCAGCCATCGAAATACGTCCATTATCTGTAAGATAAATATGAAATTTCTCTTTAAGAACCGCGACCTGTGGAGCTATTTAATTAAAATATCGTAAAATGAACGATAAAGATCAAATGAGAAAAAAAAAATTAAGAACAAAATCTTTTAGAATAAATATGTCAAAAAACAAGTTATTGTACAAATGACATTCAATACATTATTTACCTTTAAGTCCAGTAAAAGAAAACATTCCAATTTGGTTTGTAATATGATCCCAATTTCCCGGGGTATTAGATTTGATAAGACAATCACGTAAAGCATCACGCATATTTTTAATACGAGAACTCATTTCTCGGAGATTTTCAACCCTAATTTTAGATTTTGTTATCGATCAATAAAGGTCATGAAAAATTTAATTATTGCAGTACTTAAAATGGCTTACCATTCAGCATAAAGTTCGGGGTTATTTAATACCCTATCAACTATACGAGCGCCATGTGCTGGGGGGTTGGAGATTTCAGAACGTTGCAATTTGGCGAGTTGACTACTTACGCGAGCGGCAGCGTCAGAATTTTTTAACACGAAAGTTAAGCAACCAGCACGTTGTCCTACAAAAATTAAAAATCAATTAATGGTAAAAGAGAGAAATTTTCATTAAGATTAAATAAAAAAGAATATACAAACCATATAAACCAAAGTTTTTCGCATAAGATTGACAGATAAGCAATTCGAAACCGCGTTCAACAAAGTATCGCACAGCCCAAGCATCACGATCTAAATCTCCACTAGCAAATCCTTGATATGCACAATCAAAAAATGGGAAAAGTTTCTTTGACTATATTAAAGTAATAATAATTTCGTGTTAATGTCAAAAGAAAAAAAAATGTATGAAATTTTTTGAAAGATGATAATAATAGCTCACCTCGATAACATCAGCAATTGCTTTCCATTGATCTTGTGTAGGGTCAACGCCGGTTGGATTATGAGCACAAGCATGTAATAGAACAATTGATCTTTCAGGCGCAGCCTATAATATTTGAATACTATTAATATTTCTATCGAAAAAGATACTAATTAAATAAATAAATAATTATGATTGCCTTAAGGTCTGATAGAAACCCATCAATATCCAAACCATTATCTTTTGGGTTAAAATAAGCGTAATTTCTTGTCTCCAAACCGACATTATTAAAGATTGGCTTGTGATTTGCTAAAGATTTAAGGCTTAATTGATTAATAATATTTCCTTGTAAGATACCATTTGTAATTAAAAAAATATATAATATAATAACTTACCCCAAGTTGGATTAGACAAGTAAATAGGAACTTCTTTAGAATAAAATCTTGACAAAAAGAGAGCACCAAGATGATTAGCTCCCGTACCAGATATCGTCTGAGCAGCTGTAACCTATTAAAACGTTGTACACTTAATTAATAAATTCGAAATTAGATAAACTATTATTGATAAAAATGTTCTTACTCTATTTTCTTTGATAGCGGGACTATCTGCGCCAAGTATTAATCTAATTGATGCTTCTCTGAAAGTTGGAAGACCCAATATAGGGAGATATTCATGATCTCGTGAAGGATCATTTACCAAGGCTTGTTCAACCTTTTAATAAGTAATAATTTGGATGCGTTTTTTTATTTTTATATGTTAGAAGTTACAAGTGACGCTTTGGAGTGAAATTTTATCTATCGATAATATCAAAATTTTATACACCACCTTTTTAACAACAGGTAACACCCAGGGTTTTCCTGCATCGTCACGATACGCTCCTACACCCAAGTTAACTTTTTGAGCAAAAGTATCTGCCTTATACTTGGCAGTAAGGTTGAAAATAACGTCTGGAGGAGCAAGGGGAACTTCATGAAAAAGTGAATTCGTTGCTATTTTTTTTAAAAAAAAGAAAAAAAAAAATTATGATTTATTTTAATATAATGAACATATTATATATAATGATATAATTACAAGCCATAGTAGATAAGTGTTTTTCGATTTGATCAAGACGCTTTATAGACATTCTGATGAAATTATTCGAGGTTTTATATATAAAAAAAATGAAAGATTATCAGAAATTATCAAAAATATCGATAATAATGATCGTCTCTTTCTTGACTATGATCTTATCCGTTATCTAATTATTTATTTATTGCTCTGATCTATGTGGGGTATTTCTTCAATTGGATAAAGTAATTCTCCTTAATCTGTTGATTATCATTTAATTGGTTGGTTAACAACAAAACGATGTGCGTTGGTTTTATATAATAAATCAACTAGAATAATTTTTCTAAATATAATTAATTAATTCATGTAATAAATATATAAAAAAGTTGTATAAAATAGAGATTTCCGATACGAATTATTGAATGAGTGATCATATCAAAGATCTTTTTTTAGGAGCAAACGTGTTGAAAAAATGTGCGAAAGTTGTAATCTCATCATTGCTTTTCACATGCCTCATGTAAATTGTAAATTACATGAACTACGACGTGAATGTTTTGTAAAATAGATTGTGATTGTTAAGCAGATGGTATTTTTTTAATAAAATACAAAGGCATAATAAAGTCGGCTCTATGTAAACTTTTTTCTTTGATCCACTTGTTTCTTTGATGACTAAGCAAGTACTGAAGTTGTGCGTTGAAGATCAAAAATTATGTAGAATAAAAGAAGACGAAAAACTCCGAAACATAAAAGCTTTCATGGGACATTGGGGACAGAAACGTGAGGTCATTAATCGACATTAGAATCACGTGAAAATTCAGTATCGTTTATTAATAAATGATAGATCAATTTGAATTTAATAATTAATAATTGTCAATAATAAATATAATAAATTCATAATAACAAAACCCCCCCCCATTTTATAATACACTAACTTAAGTACAGAAAAGTACACTATATTATTCGTTCGACAAAAATTAAAGACACTATTATACGTACCCATTTTATTGAAAATTTCAATATACAGAATATACTTACATTATACCCTAACAATAACCGAATAATTTATAAGAAAAACAAAGAATACATATACATCTATTTTTAAAAATTCAAAATTTATTTTATATAAAAACCTGTTATATCCTGCTTGACCTGTTCGAATTGAATTAATGAGATATTTGAAAACATCCTGCGTTTGAAAAATAAAAATAAGTTACTAATTATACAAACTATATAATTGATTACAATATAATTAATTATTCAAAATAAATATTCTTTCTCTTTTACTTTTTTTTTAAAAAAAAAAAAGCAAAAAAAACAAAAAAAGTATCTAACTTACCGATATTAAATAAGGAAAATCTCTCCAAAAGTCCCTAAATCATTATTTTAAGGTAGTTAGTCCCTTGCCTTGCGATTTAATTAAACAAATAATAAAACTTTTAGAGTAAAAAACTCACAAATGCGGTAATAAATCCCAACCATGTGCCTTATAAACATGGTAATTATAAGCAGCTCCAAAACCAAAATAGCACAAGGCAATAATGATCAAACTGATAAATTAGAAACTGTTAATCTTTTTCTAATTTAAAAAGAACCATCAAGAATTCACTTACAAGATTATAAACTTAGTAAACCCGCTCATTCCTTTATCTTCAAGAATTTTTTGTCTAAAATTGAATGTAAACTTTATTTTTTTTTTTTTTTAGAAAAAAAACCAACTTTATGTGTTATTTTATTATCATAACTTACCCGCAAGCAGCAGGAGTTTCCCATCTTATAATTAATGTATTTTCCTCGTTATTATATTCTAATGTTGTAATATTGTCTTTCTGAAATTATTGAATTTGATTTGAAAATGCATTCAATGATTTCAATTATAATTAGTATAATTATTAATATTATTTATTATAATTATTACTCACCTCAGTATTACAAATAAATGTAAAATTTGCTTGTTGTTTTTGTTCAGCATAAGAACCTCCATTCAATGTAATTAAGAGAGGACCTAACAAAGAATGAATTTAAATAAATGTCATAATAAGCTTTTTAAAATTACATATCGATTTACCAGATGTATCATCTTTATTCGAAGCAGGTTCTAAAGCTATTACAGGTTTAAATATTCCTTCATCATTTAAATCTCCGGCAATTGGTCTAATCGTTATCACTCGTGGAGATTTGTCTTCTTTGGATAATTTGTTAGTTATGATTTGACAAACATATGTACCATCTGGACAAGTTTCATTTTTTTTATCAATGGGTAAAGGTTCACAAAGATTTATTAAAGAACTAGTGATCGTAATAGTCGGAGGCGTTTGTTCCTCTTTTGTAATGTTCTGTAACCTATATTGAATAGGAAACAATTTAATAACAGATATTTCTAATAAACTGAAGATTTAATTAAAAAGAAAGTGCAAGAGAACTTGATTTAACTCTTACAGCACAATGAAAACAACGTAAAACTTAACTTGAGATTTGAAAGGTCAAATTTTATACCATCGACCTCTACATTGGAACAGTTAAACGCGTCAATAGCAAGAGATGTTTGTCCTAATGTGAATATCGCGACTAAATAATATAAGAAAAAACTTGTAAATTTCCACATTTCTTTTGTTACGTTTGGTATAAAGGTGTTTAGATCAGAAATAATATCAAAATATGATTTTTCAACTCACATCACGACATCACGTTATATTGCAATGATCTACGTCATGGATAGGAATGGGAAATTAACGGTTAATTAAGATTTGGTCAATTAACTGGTTAGTTTTGATTGGTCAACTAAAAATATCCTTTGGTTAATTATCTTTTGGTTAATCCTTTGGTTATTAACGGTTAATTAACCAGGTTAATTAACGCCCATCCCTAGTCATGGATAGGCTCTATTCATTATCTTGTACGGTGATGAATAACTTTATTGTTGTACTTTCGTTTACCATTCTAATAAAAAAAAAAACAAATTGAAATTACAAAATCGACTATTCTTTTTTTTAGTGCAATATAGAGATTTTTGAGTTATATTTGCGATATTTATTACTTTTAACGATTATGTATTTTGGTAATAAGCTTGAATATGTCGGTTGTCATTATCATTATGACCTTCACGTATAATAGTAATTTGTCATCATAAAGCGCATACTAGAAATTTGAAATTTGGTTTTCTTCACGTATACTTTTTGAATGATGTCGAAAGTCAATTACAAATCAACATTTCAATGGAAATTTGTCATATTTACCGCCATTTTTCGATTCGTTTTGCGTTTTCTTCCTTCGCGAAAAAGCTCAATTCCCCGGCAACATTCTCCATAACATAAAATCAGGAAAACCCGAACCGAATACAGATTAACATCAGCGATTAATGAATTCATTCTGGAACTACGATTGTAGATATCATTCCATCTGCCAGCTTCTCTCGTAAAAAGGACTCCAAAAATTCTTCAAAGGTAATAGCAGGCAGTCTCATGGGTAAAAATTAAAGGTGCAGACATAATATAACGTCATAACCTTGGGTTATAACATATATAAGCCGTAACAAAGTCATATCTTTTACCAAGATGTATTATATAAGCATAAGCCGTAACTATAGCCATATGTCCGTCGTAATTATAACCATATGCCGTAACTATATCTATATGTTAACTATAGTTACATGCTATAAATAAATGTAATTATATAATTTGTTATATATCATAATTATAAGATTTAACTTTATTACATTTATATTATATTAATTTAAAAATAAAAAGATAATTTATATCATATTATTAATTTGATGATTATATTTTTCATATTGAAGAAAAGAATCAACTAGCCTTTTTGGATCATAATCTAAATTGAATATTTATAATATTTTGAATTTTTGTTTAGCATATATATTCATTATAATTTCAAAAGTGGTAATGTAAGATCTAAATATCTTTTAAAATTAATGTATCTCTAGAAGAATTAATATAAGAAAATTCTAAATATCTTTTTTCAATTCCATTTATTACTTCCTTTAAATCCTAAACAGTTAATTGATTTTTATAGTATACTAATTCTTTTTTGATATTAATTAAATAATAAGATCGAATTTTAAATATATTTTCAAGTTTTTAAATTTCAAATCTTATTTAATAATCATCAATAATCAATTTGTATGTTGAAAAATTCCTTTGCAACTAGCTTAAGAAATAATAATTCCAAAAAAATGGATAACAAGTTTAGCCAAATATCTAGATTTTGTATATAAGCAATTATTTTTAAAGCAAATTTAGTTCATTAAAATTTACTTATATTTTTTAGATATTATAAAATTTTAAAGTTATATTTAAGTTCAAGTTAGTTAGAGTTCTAGATGAGTTAAGTTAACTCACAAGTCAGATAAGCTGAGTCAAGTTTAAATCAAGTTGAGTTTATGTTTTTTTGACTTGATCATTTGTGATTTAAGCCAAATTTAAGTTAAGTTAAATATTTAACTCAACTTGATTTAAACTCAACTTGACTTAAGTTGACTTGAGTTAACTTAAAATAGTTTTAGGATTGCTTATAGAAAAATAATAATTTAAAAAGAATGATAAGAAATCGTTGAACTTGAACAGGATCCCTGATTATAAAAATATCACATTAAGATAACTGTATCATATATTTTGAGAATAATTCTCCTAAGTAATATAAGTATAATTATGTACACTTTGACTATTTTAATACTAGTAAACTTAATAGATATTACATTAATTATTACGATGTAATTCCAATCATCATAATTAGAGACCCTACTTGAATGATAAAAAAATCATTTAAGAAGAACAATAATGAATCGTTTGATTTAAACAATAAAAAAATCATTCAAGAAGAATAATGACCTGAATCGTTTAACTTGAATGATAAAAAAATCATTTAAGAAAAATGATAATGAATTGTTTGACTTAAACGATAAAAAAAATCATTCAAGAAGAATGATAACTAAATTATTTGACTTGAATAATAAAAAAATCATTCAAAAAAATAATAATAAATTATTTAAGAAGAATGATAACAAATCATTCAACTTAAATGATAAAAAAAATTATTCAAAAAGAATGATAATGAATCGTTTAATTTGAACAATAAAAAAAATCATTCAAGAAGAATGATGACAAATTATTTGACTTAAACAATAAAAGAAATTGTTTAAGAAGAATAATGACGAATTGTTTGACTTAGATGATAAAAAAAATCATTTAAAAAAATGATGATGAATTATTTAACTTAAACAATTATTTTTTTATAGGATCACAAGTACTAATTATTTTTATTTTTTTCCCTTCTCTTTCTTCTTTTTTTCCTTCTTTCCTCCTCCCTTCCTCCAATCTTTTCATTTTTTTATTTTTTTTTGATTTTGTTCTTTTTTTTTATTTTTAATTAATTTTTTTTTGATATCATTTTTTAATTTTAAATTTTTTTTTTCTCTTCTCCCCGATCTTTTCATTTTTTAAATTAATTTTTTTTATTTTTTGTTTTTCAATTTATTTTTTTTTTTTTTTTGTTTTTTTTTTTTACTTTTTGTTTTTTATTTCTTACCCTCCCTTTCTTACATCACGTTCTTTATTTTTTTTTATATATTTTTATATATTTTTTTTTATTATTTTTTAGTTTTTTTCTCCTATTCTTTATTTTTTTTTATATTTATTTTTTTTTTAATATTCTTTTTTTCTTTTTTTAATTTAATTTTTTTTTTGAATTTTTTTATTATTTTTTAGCTTTATTACTTTGTTAATTTCAAATTTCTTTTTATTTTCCTTTCCTTATCCTGTTCTTTTCATTTTTTATTAATTTTTTTTTATTATTATTTTTTTAATTTTTTTGATTCTTGACATTAATTTTTATTAATTTATTTTTCCTTTTCCTTCTCACTTTTCCAATCTTTTTCATTTTATTATTTTATTTTTTTTACTTCTTTTTTATTATTATTTATTTTTATTTTAAATATAAATATTTTTTAAAAATATTTTTTAAGGATTTCTTAAAGGTTTATTTAATTTATTTTCTTTTTTTCTAGAAGTGGATCTTTCATTTTTACAAATAAAGATGAGTATAAATTTTTTTACATTTAAATGTTTATAAAAATTTAAATTTGACTCAAAATTTGATTTGAACTTGACTCAACTTAAATAAATTCAAAGTCAAAATCAAGTTGAGTTAAACTCAAATTGAGTTAAATTGAGTTGAGTTTAAAATTTATATAACTCAAATCAAATCAAATTGAAAGATTTTATAAAATAAACTTGACTTGACTCAACTCATTTAGAATTCTAAAATTAGCTTTGTAGTTATTTATGATTAGAGTTAAGGAATAACTCATTTAGTAAGTTTAGTCAGTATGATTTTCTTCTTCTCTCCCTAAAGAGTAGACTTAAGATTGGTACAGCATTATCTAAAATTCTTATACATATGATCACAGTTACTTTTAAATTTAGAATTAGTTTCAGTTAGTTAGAATTTGTTAGGATTTTAGGTTTAATTAAGGGTTAGTTATAGTTAATTAAGGATTAATTAAAAGTTAGTTAAGGTTAATTTAGGTTAAATATTATAATATTATTACTTAAAGTCACATATTCAAAGATTTTTGATAGTGATTTTGAGAGAGTTTCTGATTGAAACACAAAATTGCTAAAAGCTTATTTTTATTATTTATTTGTTTATTTTAGTTCTTTAAATAGTTTTTATTTTTGTTAATATTTTGTAACTTTTATTTATTGATTTTTTTAATAATAAATGCAGATTTTGATAGAGAAGTTTTACTTAATGAATTTGAAAATGATTCAAATATATCTTTATTTTTAGAAAAAAGTTTTATTTCATGAAATGAATGTGAAAAATTTTTTAATAAATGGTCAAAGTTAAAAGATTTTCACATAATTAAAGATTGTATAATTTGTAATAAAGGTTTCATCTGACGTAGAATATATATTTGTGCTCATAGCTGTTCTTATGAATTTAATTTAACAAAAAATACTGCTACAAAAGAATCAATTGTTCTTTTTCTATTAATATTTCATGTCTAAAAGTTAAAAATCCTAAATGTTTGATATTTATTAATAAAATTAATAAAGAACATAATCTTTTATTAAATAAATTAATGATTGAGTTTAAGGAGTCAAAAAAAATTATGATGGAAATAATTAAGAATATTAAGTTTATGATATTATATTATAAATTTGATATAACTTCTCAAAGAAAATTTCTTGAAGAAAATATCTATCACATTATATTTATTTGAAAAGATTTTTATATTACTATAAGAAATTTTCATCTAAACAGTAAGTTTTTATCAAATAATACTACTCAAATTTATAATTAGCTTGTTTGTGAGAAGGAAAAAGATTCTTAGTGAATTGTAAGTTACAGATGGGATGATAATAATACTTTGATTTATTTACTTTAGATGACACTAATTCAAGTAAAAAATTAGATATACTATTCAGATTATATTATAAATAATGTTACTCATAAAATAAATCACTATGATATAATACTTTTATTAATTGTTAGCTTTAATAATGATAGATGTAATATGTACTTGCTCAAGCTCTTCTAATAGATAAAAGTTTTAATTCTCATATGTGAATATTTTCTTAAATAATAAAATATATTGGTATACTACCAATAATTATAATTACTAATTCTGATTTAACTGTTGATATTGCTATTCATCAGGCTTTTTCATTAACTTATCTAATTTATTATACATTTAATATTACTCAAAATTTGCATAAAAATCTTAGTAAATTATTATGTAATAATTGTCAAGAATTTCTTATAGCATTTTAAATTGTCGCAATTATATTATTGAAAAGTTTTTTAATAATGATTTGAAGATCTTATAATAGATTATTCTAATGCAAAAATATATATAGAATTTCTTTATAAAACAAAGTCATATTGGACTCATTATTTTATAAAATTTAAATTTATCAAAGGAATGATAGCAAGTTCTAGAGTTGAATCTATAAATGCTTACTTAAAAAGATTATTACACAACTCTAATTTATCTTTGTATAATATTATAGTTAAAATTCAAAGACTTTTGATTTACAAGATAAGAAAAACGAATATATATTTTGGCATTTGTCTATTTCTAATATATAAAATCAAAGTAATACAAACTTTTTATTTGTTAAAATTGACAAATCTCTTTAATAATATCTTACGCCTATAATATTAAAAAAGCATTATGATAAAATTAACCAATTATTATATTATATAACAAATTTAGTTGAATTTAATGATGGAATAATAGAAGAATTAATATTAATAAACAATAATAATGAAATAGCAGATATTGATTTTTCACAAATAACTTTAAAATAAATAGTTCAATTTATTAGTTTATATAATATGAAAGAAATATTAGCGATCAGTATTAAAAATACATTGAAGATTAAATATTATGTATTATTATTATAAAATTAGGAATATATTTACTCTATCTTTTGATTTTACAAAGTGATATTATTTATAGACATTATTTTCAAGTTATGTTTAACTATAAAAAATGCTTTTTTTCACATTATATTTATTCTAATACAGTAATATAGCAAAAATAAAAATGATATATAGGAGCTATTTTTAAATGCAGATAAATTTTTACAAAAAGATCAACAAATTATATATTTTAATATTAATAATATATTTTAAGCTTATGTCTATTTAATCAAATTAATACAAAGTTTTGTGATAAAAGATTATTAGCGTTTAAATAATGAATTATTTATGGTAAATTATATAGGGCTTATAAGTAGGTTTTAAATAAGACGTTACAAAATAATTTTAGATCTGAATAGCTGATCTATTTATTAGAAAATTTCTTGAAGGATAAAGATAATGAATAGAAAGAAATTTACCATAAAAAAGATTCAGATAATAAGAAAAAAATTAGATCTATTAATATTATTATTGTAAAATTCAAAGAATAAATGCAATAAAAGATATCTGTTAGATATTAAAAGGTTTAAATCAGCTTATGAAACTTATAAATCTAATTTAAAGAGTCAATGACAATGTAAAAAATGCAGAAAGGTTAAAGATTATCAAAAATTGCAAGGGATTGGTATAACCCAAAATATTATATAATATTATATATAAATTGCTTATTTGCTTTGTATTTATAATAATTTTATTATATTATATTAAACTGTATAATAAATTACATATATAATAAATTTGTATTAAATGCTATACTATATTATAAATTATAAAATATGTATGAGCAAAATCATTTGATGTAAGGGGTGATAATAAATCACTATGACAATGAAAAAAAAAGCCCCTAAAATTTATATAAAAATTTTCTCTTTTAATATACACTTTCTTTAAATATATATTTTTTAAAATTTTTACTATAATCCCAAGGGAATGCATTTAAAATAAATTAACTGTATTTATAAAACCTTTAATTATTAATAACTTAATTTAAGTTATTTATAATATATAGGTTGATTGCTAAAAAATCAGATTTTAAAAAAAATTTTTAACAAAAATAAAATTTTTATTGCATTTTGATTTTTGATATTATATTAAAATGCATTAAAGCTCTTGAAATCCTATATATAAATAATTATTTAAAGTAAAAGTTTTTTAATTTTATAAAAATAAATCAAAGTAAACTTATAAAATAAATTTATTTATAAATTTTTAAATTATAAAACTTTTAATATAATAAAATTAATAATAATTATATATATTTTTATTATTATAAATTAATTCAATTTATTTTAGAAATGATCAGAAAACCTAGATCTTCAGATATATAAAAAAAAAAAAAAAAAAAAAAAATAAATAAATTCAGGATGGTACCTTTGTTATTTATTAACAAAATTTTTTTTTTTGATAAACTTAATTAATATTAATAAACAGTAATCAGCCTCTGAAGATTTAGAAATAATGAAACTGATTATCATGTTGGGAGAACGAAGATTACTTATACGTGATATTAAATGCTACATATTATTTTTGAATATATTTTTTTGTTTATGACTATGAATATTGCATTAAATTCTTAATAGTCCCCCCTCAGGGAACTTGTCGTCTCGAAACACTTCGATCAACGAATGTTCTTTGATCAATGTTATTGAGATTTCATTTGCGACGACTTGTTTGATTTCTTCTCTCTAATTCGAGAAAATTGCGTCGATTGTGAAAATGAGGGGGTTTTTGATGGCGATGATGATGGGCTATAACTAGGAGTACTTTCTTCAGTGTCAGTTAGTTCAAGGATATTTGATTTTTTAGATTTTTTAGATTTTTTTCTCAAAATTTTAAAGAAGGAAATATAATGTTAAAATGAAATAGGATAAATAATGCACGCTCAGAAAAGACCTAAATCAAAATCAGATCTAATCCTTACGATACTGATCCTGCTGCAGGACGTCCCCTCTTTCTTTTCTTCTGACTGGACATACCAGTACAATGATCACAGTACCATCTGCCTTCTGGAACTGCGGAAAGTCCAACGCAGTCAATATGATACCACTCAAAAGGACAATTCTGATTTTTAAAAGAAAATATTAATTTTATAATAACTAGATGATGTAAAGAATAATGTGTTTTTATTACATACCTCACCATCGCAACCGATCATTTCCCCAAAACTCACTTGACGACAGGTACAATATAACGGCTCGTTTGGATCAACTGTCGGTATGTAGTTTGATAAAACTAGAGTGTTATCATATGATACCGCGGAGTCATCCTGATCCAGAAGGTTGGCATTGCTCATGACATTTGGATCCGCGATAGATGAGGATCCCGGAAGTTGTTCTTCTCTTAACTTATGAATACCTCTAGAGAGGTAATTGTTATTAATTGCGCTTGTCGCAATTTCGGTATTAGAATTAGTGATGCCCTGAACATTACTATAGTTTACAATATAAAAAGTTTCAATAAATAAAATCATGGATATGAAAAATTATCATAAACATCAAAACATACCTTAGTTTTCGACGTCTACCATTATTTGCACCGCTTGCTGAAGCTATTGACAATAGACGGCAGTTTAATAATAGCAGAATCTTTTTAGACATAACAAATGTAAAAAAATGTCTAATAATAAACGAGATCAATCAAAAGGAATAAAGAAAAAAAATCTAGAACGTTCGTACCCTTATTAGCTCGGGGTAAAGAGCTCGATGGGTTGGGTAGCATTGGCAATGCTAAATAAAGCAATAATAAAAAGCATTATAAATGACTTTTCTTAAAGAAAATGTATAAGAGAATAAAAAGGTATCATAATCATACAAAATTGCACTTCCTCAGATTCAGCGCTTGAAGAAGGATAATACGATCCTTTATTATACTCGTACGTCGTATTAGGGAAATTCGATGAAGCGGCTTGTGCCAAAGTATGTGTTGATGCTGAATGTGCTGTATTTCGAACAGTCGAATTTGTTAAGACAGAAGCACTTGAATGTACTATCCCCTGAGCTGCGGCAAAAGCCGAAGATTCGATTCTACTAGGACTTGCAGGGGTTGACGCTGAAGAATCGCGAAGATTGTGCTGTGGAAACAAGCTTTCAAAATCTTCGTCAAGACGTTTAATATGCCTCTCAACCTTTAAACGTTAACAAAAATAAATCTCATAAGTTTCTAAACGAGAAATAATGTTCTTATATAAATATCGTTTGATTTATTTAAATGAACCAGTATAACGTAAATTTTACCAATGCGAAAGCCCTCTCGGCAAGCTCGATCTTCTCGTCTTGCAATTGCGACGCCCTCACATAATCCTTAATTATCTTCTCTTTCAGCATTTCTTCATCTTCGAATTCGGTAACAACACGTGTTACTCGGCGTCGTTTCTTTATAATTTGTTCGCCGTCTTGATCGTCGTCAAAACAATGATCATCATCGCTATTCGATTCCTCAACGCCATCATCGTCTTCGTAAATGCTTTCAACGACAGAGCAATCGCTGTCTTCGTCAATAGGACGATCATCATACAAATTCCACAACCGCTTTTTACGACGTTCAATTCTTTCCATCAATCCTATATAGAGGGATATTTATGGATAAAATTATAAGATGACCTTAACTTGATTCCCAAAAAGGAAATCTATAACCAAGCAATACCACTTTATTTACAACTTTACTTACGTTCGATTTCTTGATCCTTGTTTGATAGTTCAGAGAAGTGATAATGGATTTCTGAGGGAAGATTATCAATACCTTTGAAAGTATTTTATGATAAACACGTTAATTTACGTTTGATTCGATGAAATTTATAACGGCCAAACGTCAAAATAGAAATATGAAAGAACACTAATCTTACTTCCTAAGAACTGTATTAAATACTCGTTAGCGTCTATTGGTTCCATATTTACAAAAAAAAAAAAAGAATATTATGATAGCAGTAAAGAAAAGCCTTTGTTTGAGAGATTTTCACAGTAGGAAAAGTTCAACTTGTCTTGATAACATCAGAATGAAACAAAATCAACCAGGAAAGGTAACGAAATTAGTATATGATTCAATGGAATATTTTGAAAACTATTAAAATCATGAGGGTGACAAATGATTGGTTGAATAAATCTGTGGTCAGACGGTCAGACCATTAAAATCACGAGTTGTACAACAGCATGAAAGTTGCCCAATTTATCGCATAATTTGTATAAATTACTAGATTTAGCAAAATATTACCCTTGTTTACCGTTGCAGAACCTAAAAAAAAAGTTTTTCGAAATTATAGAATCATGGGGAATGATGAGAGTAAAGAATAATGGAATTCAAAATAGGGAGTGGTAAGTTAAAAGATCAATGTCGATCGTTTTACACTTATCGGATCTAACTTTGCAGAAACTAGCGCTCTAAGCAAAAATAAGTACGTGAATGGCGGCGTAGTATCATTTAAAATAATTTACGATTAAATGTGTAATTATACTGTCACCATTTCATCACTTTTTTACTCGCCATTGAATAAATTTAATATAAAAACCCGAAATTTTACATTTTTTTTTTTTTACAAAAAAAAAAAAATTCAAAAAATCCTAAAAGATAAATTAAATTAAATAATTATTTATCCTCCATAAAATTTAAACTTCGAAATTTTTTTTTTTTTTCACCCAATACAAAAAAAAATATGGCATCAGGACCTGTAGGAGGAGGAATTGCAAGATCTCGTTCGGTATGGCGTTTCTTATCCATTGATCCAGAAATTTATCCTCTACTCGGGGTATTAGCAACCACCTTTGGTATAGCTGGATATATGATGGGTCGTAAAGCAGCCAACACAAATGAAGAGAAAAATGTGAAATTGGCTAAACACGAACCATTTCCTTGGCATGCTGGTACTAGTGGAGGAAGTAATGATGGAGGACAGGATTATAAATATAAATTTCATAAATATGGAGATCTTAATCAAGATCCTATTAAAGCTCCAAGTGCCGACACTTCACATATCGTACAAGTAAAATTGCCTAAAGACGACGCTCAAAAAGTCGAAGAAAAATTAAATAGTTCATGAATATGTAGTGAAAATCAAAATGTTTTTTATAAGAAAATTTATTCGACTGTGTAATAGATTTATTTTATTTTCTTAAAATATATAATGTAGGACTTGCTTGGTTTGTTTTCGTAGCCAATTTAAACATTTACGTAATAAATATTTGCCCCTCAAATTGGGCAATTTTCACTTTTCAATATATGTTTCTCCCTTGTTTTAGGAAATGGATATCACACAGTTAACGTACAAAACATGGGTTAAAAATCGGTTTGTGCGAGTCAAATGTAATTGCTTATGTCAACAAGATCAGCCTTTACTCTTTTAAGGCATTGTGTGACATATTGTCAATCCCCTTTTTTTTCCTTTTCTCGAATGGATTTATTGAAAGAACTGTCGAATGTTAAACTTTTACCTTCATTATTCGTATTTGATCTCGATTATACTCTTTGGCCATTATGGTACGTTTTAATATTAAAAGACGCAAAGGGCTTATTGTAATTTATTAATTCCAATTCTTTTTCAGGATAGATACTCATACCTCTGGCTCTCCTTTCAAAGCCGATCCTTTCAAACCTCATTGCGTTAAAGATCGGTAAGACTTATTAATTGATACCATAATTCTGCTCTTATGATTTAATTCAATCTCTTCCCTTTACAGTCATGGAAAATTATTAAAATTATACTCTGATGTTCCAGAAATTTTCCGATTGATTAAAAACTGTCCAAAACCACACATTGCTGTTGCATCAAGAACTCATGAACCAGAATGGTACACATGATTTGCTTACAATTCGTTTACTCATTCATAAACATTGCAATTTACTCTTTTTTTTTTTTATTTTAAAATAAATTTACAATGACGTTAGGGCACGCAAGGTCTTATCAATTATGCCTTTCCCTGCGGATGAAGGTTGTGATTCAATTAAGAACTCATCTAATGGCGTCAATTATCGCTCATTAGCCGACATCATTGATTATGATGAAATATATCCTGGTTCAAAGTTAAAACATTTTCGTTCGCTTCATAAGAAAAGTGGTATTCCCTATCGTGAAATGATTTTCTTTGACGATGAATTAAGAAATAAAGAGGTTGAGCGAGAATTGGGTGTACATTTTGCTTATGTCCCGAAAGGGATGACGTTAAATCTATTTCTATCAGCGATAAAGGATTTTGCTAAAAAAGGAGAAAATCCTTAATTATCATTTTTTTATTTTTATTATTTAATAATCAATTCAATTATATTAGATTACAGTGATTAAGAAGAAAAAATGAATAATGAAATAAAGGTCCATCTAGGTCGAAATTATATATATATTTAAAAGTAATCAATTCTTTCCGTGTCATCATTCCAAAAGTAAACTTTTTTTATCAAATTTGTACCCCTCCAATTCATAAGGCATCATATAAGGCATATATTTTGGAAAAATAAAACCGTAAATTAAGGCCCAATAAAAAAGTCCGGACAAGGTACCGGTAAATTTCTCAAAAAACGTATGAAAATAAACTGCGGTCATAAGCAGCATCCACCACCAAAGAAAAAGTAGGCCTCCGAAAAGCTTAAAAAGAAATTTATTCTTCCAATTATTTGATCGATAAAAAAGAATGTTGGCATCTTCCAGAATGAAAAGAGAAGCATGAATCAACATAAAACAATGGCCACTAACATCATGACCATTATTCCAATCTCCTCCACCCTTTCGACAAACATGAGCTTCAAATATTTCTCCTGGCACTACTTTGGATACTTTGGAACACTCGCCTCCGGTAAACACAAACACCCTATCCAATAAACTTGGTCCAAACAACCATTGTGTAAATAAATACCAATACAGGGATGCCAATAGCAAACGAATTATAGCTTTTACGAATTGTTCCAGTTTATTAGTATGAATTAATATCGCATATATTATAAAAACTATAGTTGTCCAAAACCATCCAATTTTTACAAAATATTTGTTAATAAGGTTGGACCGGTTTGACCAATACGACTCGGGCATCCTTGCAAATGAACCAAGCACAACTGTAATAACATAAAAGGAACCAAGAACACATTGTCTAATTATATGGTTCCGTTTATATTCGAGATCTCTTTCTTCCTTTGATTTCTTCAACTGTTTTGAATCTCCCACCATTTTTTTTTTTTTTTTTTTATTTGGGATAGGGTAAAAAAAATTCAAATTTATAAATAAAAAAAAAACCATCTCGACACGTGAAAGTTTCATAATTGCAAATTACCCTTTGTGGGTAATAGATCCGTCAGTGATCTGCAAAATGCCGATTAATACTATAATCAAATAGGATCTTTGACACATTTTGCGTCAGAAAGAGGTCATTTTTAAAGCAAAATGTCAGAGCATATAATGTCAGTGGATCAAACGCCGGGTTCGCAAAACAAGGATGTCGACGAGTATGTTCCGATTCCTTAGCCAGCTGCTTAATTCAATAACAAAAGTTACTGACGTGTTCGATTTAAGTTTTTCACAAAACCTAGATCACTCACCTGGTGATTTGGACAATAATTCCGAATCGTCGTCTATACGGCCTTCGGATATACCAACAAAAGGGGTTGTGGTTTGTATATATTTATTTATCAATTTTTTCTTTTATATATATCCTAAACTATTAAATCTTGACCACGATCTTTGTTCATTCCCTTTAGGCGTTTTCAATACTCTGCGAATTATTAGATGAGTGCATATTGGATGTAGCCTTTGAAGCTCATAGAGAAGCTAAATTGGCTGCGTCTGTATGCCAATTATGCAAATCGGAGTAAGTTTAATGAACTAATTATAAAAGCTTAATTTTTTTGTTAAGAAATAATATTTAACTCATGAATTTTTAGGTGCCGATCTTTTGGTATGTGATATAAAGTCCAATGCATTCTTTAGTTGAATGTTTTCTACTACTTATTAGAAAAAGCATCAATGAGTAGTAACTCAACCGGGATTGGATATCTTCGGAAATCATCCTCAGCAAGATAATTCTCCGACATTTGAATGTGTAAATTGTCAACGCCCCTTTCCATCAAAGCGTTATGCTACACATCTGGAAAAGTGTATGGGTTTAGCGGGAAGAAGTTCAAGTCGTGTTGCGAACATGAGGTATGGAATAATGAATATCTTTTTTATTTAAGGAGTAAGAATTCAATTAGCTTTGACTTAAATTTAGAATGGGAAGCGAGAGAAATCCTTCATCTCCATACACTCCTACATACTCTGAAGATAATTTAAATCAAAGTGATTCCGATGGAGGTTTATACATCGAAAAAAAACGTAAGTTTAGGACTTATTTATTTTATGTTACTAGTCTTTTTAATTATTTAGGATAAATTTATTTAAGTATAATTTTTACAACAGGGAGGAAATTAAACGAAAAATCAAGAGTACGATTGTTACTTTTTATATACATATTTTTTCGGGGGGGGGTTTAAAAAAATAAAAAATATTCATCATCTATTTAATTTTTACTTTAGGGACAATCTCCTGCTAAGTATACAAAATCAAAGAAACAAAAATCGATAAGTGAGTAGCATATATTTGACTCTTAGGATAATTTAAAATTTAGATAATTGTTAATATATGATACGCTATTTTAAAGTTTCAGATGCTGTGGAAACTACTTCAACCATCTCGTCAAAGGTATTGAAAATTAAAAGGGTTGATATTTCATTTCTTTTTTGTAATTAACGTACTAACATGAAAAATTAAATCATTATATTTTTTTTTAAAACAAAAAAAAAAATAGTTGAAACGTAAGTGTAAACCTGTGTTACTACTACTATGATTATTTCTCGATAATAAGGTTACTCTAAATTCATAGAACCATTAATGTTATCAGTCAGCTCAGTTTCAACACCCAATAGTCCAGATCGAGGTAATTCACCCATCAAACGTTCATTTTCTATGAATGAAATGGAATTTCCAGATGAATCAAAAGATATACAATATGGAGATAATATTTCATATAACGGGTGTGCATATTTATTCACGTGATGTTTCGTAAATTTCAAGTTTATTTACCACCATTTCTTTTTTAGGAATTTTGCATCAGTGGAAGATACTTCAACACAATCGTCATTTGCTGATAATGATTATATTGGTATGGATACATAGTTATATATAATTAATAAATATTATAATCCAAATCTTAATTAGGTGATACTAATTTTGTCTAATTCCTAAAAGACATTGATGGAGATGATGATATTATTGAAGTGCTTCAAACATCCAATGATCCAAGACTTTTATAGTTTTCATCTTTTATACCGGTTTCTTAATATATTTTAATTTTTTTAGTTCAATTCACAAATGAATATATTTAATATAAACAATTGGGTTTACAAGATGACCTTGTAAATAAAAGTATTAGAAATCTTTTTCATCTTTTTAATTTTTTTATATTTATTATTTTTGGTTAATGCTCTTTTTGATATAGAATTTCTGATTTCCCTCGGGAATTTTTTTTTTTTAAAAAAAAAAGTTGATTTTTCTCAATTAAATATTTTTTTTTCCTTTTTTGTAATTATTCATTCATTATTGAGAGAAATCATAAGCATTTCCGATATTCATAATAATAAAAAAGTACATACGTTATGAATGAAACAATTTGGTATACACATAATAAATTAAAAAAGAATATGCAAATCCAAGCTTATAAAGAATTTTTTCATTTTTTTTCATTTTTTTTTTTTTTGATCGAATATTATATTATTATTCTGTTCCATTTACATCATTTTCCTTCTCATCTTTGGTTGCTTTATTTTGCCAAAGACCATAGCTTTTTCCAGGGGTTGTCTAAATAATATATACTAGATTAATAAAATTTTAATATAAATTAAGAAAAGAAATTTATTCATAATAATTTTACCTGCCACAATCTTATGGTACCATCCTCTGTATAATATAACATCATATTAATATATATATTAACAACGTCAATTCAAATATAATTGGTAATCACATACCTGAACCAGTGGCATAAATTTCACCATCTGGGCTATAACTTACTGTGTGAATTGGTCCATGGTGACCCTTATATACCTCTATTTATGTTATTTACGTGGAACGCATAATAATATATCAGTCGAATGTCACTAATTCAGAAAACTTCAAGAGTAAGTGAATAAGATACCAACCAAGTTCCTTGCCACTCTCAAAGTCATAAATTCTCACCCATAAGTCATTACTGCCACCTGCCACAAACCTTTTATGATCGGGATGTAAAGATACTGAAGATACATCATAAGCGGTCGTAACCGACTTAGAAACTTGATAACTAAATTAACCAAATAAAAAAAAAATTTCAATCAACCAGAAGTCAGATCTTGTTCTAAATTTAAATTAATACTTACGTTGAGGCATCTAGAAAATAAACAATTTTTCCAGCTGTCGATGTGATGTATTTACCATCGGCAGAAAGCTCCATACTAGTAATAGGGTGTTCAGTCTTAAAAGTTTGAACTTGGCTAAAACTACGAGCATCCCAAAAGCTTTTTTTTTTAAAAAAAAAAAAATTGAGGTTAAAGTTTGATTATTATAAAAACGCGTAAATTTCTATTGTAACTTACCGAATTTCTTTATCATCTCCTGCACTCATTACGACATTTCTTTCACCATCCCAAATAACACTCTTAATAGTAGATTCATGACCTTCTGCTTCAGAAGCTGGTTCTTCTGGCTTATTTAAATCATATATTCTAAGTTTCTTTTCTTGTCCGCCAGACACAATGCGCGTTCCATCATCTGAAATATCTGCTGAACGAACAATATGACCATGAGTAAATGAATGAAGAACTTCTCCAGTATAAGTATCCCATACTTTACTATAAATTTATATAAATTCAAAAATATACGTTATCATTAATTATGATCGATATAAAATTAATTCATAATTTAAAGCATTACGTACGCGGTAAAATCAGCTGAAGCCGTCACAGCTTTAGATGCATCTTTGCTTAATTTTGCACTCCAGACAGCTCCTTTATGTCCCATAAATGTACCTATCCAATCACCCGTCGGACCATCTCGAAGCATAGGATTTCCATCTGAGGTAACGAGATTGTATGCGTTAGAAAACGTATGTTTAATCGCCTAAAGGAAAAACCAGTATAGTATACCTTTACAAGCACTTATCAAATAATAAGTTCCGTCAGTGATGGGAGAAAATTGTAAATGAACAACTGGTCGAGTATGCCCTGAGCAAGTCAATGGTATCACTCTTGAAGGGTTTGTATTTGGTGGCTGAGGTGTCGTCGTCATATTAAAAATTGAAACCGAGATTCTATGAACTAAAATTTTTTAATCTGAAACTTTGATTTACTTATTGAGTTTAAAAGGATATAATAAGTTTAAATAAATAACATTTGCTAAAATTAAAAATTTCAAGCTTTAGACAAGCATCTATAAAAGGAGATTGTTGATTATGATAAATAATATAATACAGTTTTTTTTTTTTTAAAAAAAAAAAAAAAAAAAAAAAAAGAAAATAAAATTGCTTCCTCTCTCGAGAGAAGGAAGTTGTTTGATTTTCAATACTAAAATTTTTGTTGTCACAAAACCAGGATCGGTGGCTTAGCTCATATTAATTAAATTCATATTGTTGTCTCGAATAAGAACTCAAATGAATGGATAATATATAATATTGGGGTCCTTTACAATATAAACTGCCGGGAAAACAAAAAATGGATGTATTCTATTGTTTCTTTTAATAAATTTGTTATAAATTTTTATCTATCAATTTTATATATAATATATTTCTTCTAAATATATAGTATAAATTTAACTTGGGATCTTTGCAATAGAAAAGGAGACCTCAGTTTTTTCCTTTCTATTGTCAAATATCATATATGATCTAATAGAAAAAATACAAGTCAATTATTATATTTTACTTTTTATACATTATGCAATTTACAATATATATAATATCATATATAATTACTATCATGTTAAAAATTTTAATTATATTATTATTTATTAATTTGTTTTTTTTCACTCTCTCT